TGTTGAAATTCGGTCTGGTATTTAGAAAGTCGTGGGCTGAAGCGATGCTCATTAAACGGAAGTGGTTGGTCCTAGGGAAGCACCCCTGTGCGTGTTCCGTTTGGATCGGGATTCTTCAGGATACGAACGTTGAAGTTCAGACTGTTTTTGGATTCAGAGCCGACCCACTATAAGGGTTTTTATGCATTAAGGTTAAAGTTCAGAGCGTTGATGGCATTTTAGTGAGATGTCCGAAAACCTCTATTTCACGGTCACCATATCGAAGTGTTTCGCAGCAGTCTTCAGTTTGTTTGGCCCAGTAAGTGTCGCCCAATCCAGGTCGCAAACTATGACGAATCCGTCGTTTATTAGGAAATGATGCTGCGTAGGTATGGCGCATGTGCACAGAGTCTACTGTTATCACAGAGTATCTTAAGGGAAGGTCGTTGAACTGCATCTCAGTGACCCACGAAGTGACACTACAATAATTCATGACGATTTTTGAAATTTCTTCGCCCCTACCATTGTTGCAACTGAAACGATATGGTTTGACGAGACTTGCTCTGCCATTTTTATTCGAATTCTGAATACCTTGCTTCCCCGCTTTAGGCTTTGGAATTCAAAGGTTATCAGCATTACTCTATCGGAAAACTGAAGCGAGGTTGCTATGACTCCATGTCATGAACCTGCAGTAATGAGAAGCATATGCATCTAATTCAAGCTTTTGACTTGCGGCTGCTTGGAAATTCCGTCCCACGGGAAGCTCTCAAATCCCCAATAGTTTGTGCGAACTGACTGGATGCCAGTTCCTAGAGCTTTCCCGCCCCTGCATCTGAAGCCCCTTACATCTGAGCCGCAAACACTTCGGTGGTAACCCGTGAACCATAGGGGATATTTAATTTGCAGAAAGTTAGGAAAGTTTTCGAACCTACATATGCAAAATATCGTGCCTGCCTTCTTGTCACTCCGTCGAGGGTTTTGTAAACCATGAACCACATTTTGGTAAAACTAACACACCTTCGTTAACGCCATAGCTATCATCAGCAACAACAGGGCTGTCTCGCGCATGTCCAGTCAGCTCCGCCATTCCAGCTGATTTCAGCTACCAACAGACATTACTGAGTAATCCATGGGTCTGTTTATTGCGTTTGTTTTTTGGTCGAATTAGCTCAGTGGTTAAGCCACGCTGCTGCTGGTCGGAATGTATGCAGTTCGAACCCGACCATGTCTTCTTGGTTGCTCCCGTCTGGGCTTGTACATTCTGGTAGTGTCTCAGCCTTCATGCTTCATTCGGATTGTATAGCAGCTCTGCATGCAAAGGCTGCCACAGCTGACTGTTTATTTTATGGCTGTCGGCGAAAATCACAATTTTGGCTTTGTTACTTTCATCTAATTTATAGGAAAAACAGTGTAGCCAGTTGAATCGTGTTTTGTGTGTTTGGGTTTGAGCTACTTGCTGGACTAGGCGACCCTTCCCTAAATTATGTCCCTTCTGCAAATTATCGTATCCCTCCGGGTTTCTGATCAAGATAATTCATCAACTTTCTATTGTTTTTATAGACATTACTATCGGAACAGTTGCATTTGCTTTGGATGTTTGTTTGCCACATAAAATTTGCATTTTAGTTAGATTTCGTTACGTAGTAAACATGAAAGACTTTGACCTGATCTTTAGGCTGCATGACCTTGGCCTGACCATTCGGGTGTAACCTTGCCAGGATTTTTTGAAGTGTAAGTTGGCCAACTATACTGCGTGACTTCACCGAAGCGGTTAACACAAGACTAGTTAGGTTTTCAAAAGCACGGTCGGCGTAAAACTTATTTTGACTTGCTTTGTGATTAGTCAAAACGGTCTCAGCCACACAATCCTTTGGACTGGGGTTTGTAATGTCCAACTTATGGGGAACTGCCTACGGATTGCTATCAACCTATCCACACGTAGCCAGTATTTACCCGCCCATTTTCATGCTGTGATACGTCCCAGAAGTGTTTGGTAATCAACCCTCGAATTTTGTTTGTCAACCAATTCTGAAACGGTGACGACTTTTCAGTCGGTTCCAAACTTTTCTGTGTTACATTGTTTTAATCCCTTGTCAGGCTCAGGTGAACGCACCTCATGCGGCCAACCGCAGCTATAAACATGCAAATTCTTACGCGTTTTTTTTAGTGTGAATTCTGGGGCTATCTGTTTACGCAAATTCTTACGCGTTTTTTTTAGTGTGAATTCTGGGGCTAATCTGTTTACCCTACCTTCGAAGCTGAACACTCATCGTTAGTTGAAATCCTCGTACTAGGAGGTCGGTTGATCATGGTTAGTGAGGACCAGTGAGGGTGCATCATGCCTCTTGTGGTTGCTTCCTTTTATGCTTTACTAGTGCCATATGTATTGAGTATAACAACACCAGGCCTATCGGCCAAAATAAAATATTAAAGCTTTTTCTTAGAGGAGCACTGTTCCTAGTGTTGCTGAAAACTGTTCGACCGGTTCCACCCTTCTCGGGGTCCCTCAGATAGACGCCGTCCATAATTATCCCCCAGTCTTGCGTTCGACTTGAACTCAAATTAAACGCAATTCGTGAATTGCACTCATTTAAAAACTAATTTGGTTTTCACCGTGCAATCAGCGGAGTCCCAGTTGAATCATTCTTATGAACCTCAGTTACTGATGAGCCTCAGAAAATAAGAAATCTGTCCTGGGCTATCGGAGAGTTTTTGGAAACCCTGAGTTGTGTTTTTTTCAGAGAACCACACTTGGATATCTGAAATATCGTGGGAATGAATATTCGGAACAACGAATGAATGCTTTAAACTCAATACATCAATTCACCTGTTTTATGTAATGGACTTTTGATTTGTAAAGCACTGTGTGCTCATCACAACCTGGGTTTACTGAAACTGCGGAGCCATACTGCTTAGTGGGCTACATCCAGGGCTGTCATACCCACTTGCAGTTGTTTGGAAATCAACCGTAATCGTTTTTGGGGGCGTCTTGTTTCTACAGTTATTTGCAATGTGGTTAACCTCTATATTGGCAGTAAAGCCATCGGTCAGATGGAATCGCGTGCTGTCGCCTTCATCTGATCTGTCAGGAACAAGGCAAAAGTTATTGATAGCTTCAAGACTGTGTATCCTGGCAGGGTATGCGACTCCAGTTTCGTGAGTTGGATGGTCATTTTGTAAAAAGTCGAACATCAACGTTTCGTATGTGAGCCCAGCAAGGTAGGTAGTCGTTAGTGTGACTTATGTCTATTGACTCACAAAGCATATTTATGCGCAGAACTCGTATTATGCTGGATGTCGGCATGAGGCTGCATGCATGAATACTCTACTCAGAGATGATGATTACTGTACCTTTGAGCACCCTGTTGACCATAACAAAGACTTTTTACGTCACTGCTGTTAAGGATCACATTTAAACGCTATTCTGTTGTATACTTTGTGTGTGTAATATCATTTCAACCCAGACTACTACTATGGCCTGCACACGCTAGTTGCACTTTGTTTACTGGTTATTGTAAATGACCTGAAAGACCAAATTTGTTGGCACTACTGTCCATCGAGTCCAGAAATTAGTCTGTATCTACGTGTATGCGCATGTGTATGTCCTTGTGTGGATGTGATATCCATGTGCTTAATAGGCGAACTGTTAAAAAAATTGGTTAACAGATTTCCAAGTCATGTTTCACTATAGGCTAGTATGATTCGACGATTTCCTCGAATAAAGACGATCATATACTGCTCATCTAGCAATGCAAGTGGCCGCTCCGAAACCCCACTCGATTCAACCTAGTTTCAGGTGAATATTTCTCGGTCATCCAAAATTGATTTAGCACAATAGCCTAGATAGAGGAACAAATCAGAAGGCCACAGTATGACTTTGTTGCACTATGCATATCAACATATACCCGTGAACAGTTCATCCACTAGTATTTACCTACTGGCCAGCGTTTTTGTTTCTTTCTTTCCCGCTATTCTTTAAAATGGGACGATATAACGGACAGTCCTGGAACCTCTGTGCGCAGTTATGTACTAACAGATTGCTAACTGTTAGTACACAGTATTATCTGTTCGAATCTAGTGGCTGAATGATTTTGCACCTATTCGTTACAAGTTTTACAGTGAGGGCTCTGGCGGGGCTACCTCTTTAGATGGCACAGATTTCCGAGGCGCTGGGTGTTTGCTTCGTCAGCTTACTTACCACAGACGCGCTACACATTACGCTTATGCTATTGGACTTCGCACAAGCTTTGTCACCTATCTGCTGTCCAAGTCAACAGTTGGTGATCTCTAACGCCACCAATATGCTCCTTGCGTGACTTTCATCTTGGTTAAGCTATCAAGATCTCACAGATACCTAAAATGGAATAATACATATTGATGTTAATGGGAGAAGTATTTCATAAGTTCTGAATGGGACGGCCAGATACACCGACAAACAGATAAGCGTCGGTGATCTATTAAGAACCCTCTCGCTCATTAAACACGTTCTACTGACCCAGCTATTGTTGGTGTCTTAACACGTCATACTTATGCATTCATACATTACGCCTTATGTGCCGGAAACCACTTCAAGAACGGTAAAACACACCTGGGATCACAATGTTGCTTGCAAGGCTTGCTTAGAAACCATAGATGCAGATCGGCCCGACTGCCACTAGGAAATTCATGAAGACAGCTTTTGGGTCGAAAACCCCGTGCTAATTCGATTTGCGATTATTTAGAGATTGTAGCTGGGGAAAGAATATGAGCCTCAATCTACATGAGGGAATATTATCACCACGAACCGACTCCATTATTGTGTAACCAAGGAAATTTTGGATAAAGACCATCCTAATTTTGGTTGAGAGATAGCTGCTAGCTTCCAGGAGAAGAATGAATTTCATGCTTCTCGAACCGGGCTAGTTTTCCAGTCCATTCCACTCGAATGATATGTTATTTGCCTTAATTGCTTCCGGCTGCATTCCTTCCCTTCCAGTTGATTTTTCATTCAGTTTTTTTCATCATTTTCTCTGATTCATCAGGCGACCGTGGGACCGTGTAATACACCAAAACCAGGTTTCTTCGATTTCAATGGGCGCAAGAAATGGTACGATTTATCCTCACGTTTATGCTAACGACAGTTCCGTGTGGGAGGTTGTATTTTCCAAACAGTTCCATGTAGAGTGTGTCTCCTTCACAACAAGTTAACAGTAATAAGCCATTGGAAACTGTCTTGGCCCAGTGGCCTATTTCTCATGACTGACGTGCACGATTACAAAGTCACATTAGAGATGGGTTCGTTAGACAGGGGGCGGCTTCATCACACTTCGAATGTGTTCTGTCGTGCAGCAGCGTTCGGAGCGTAATCGCAGTTTCCGGTGTCCATTTCTTAATAGATAAGGAATGAACAGTCATAATTGCGAATTCCAAATACGAAATGCACGGTTATTTTGTGAGAACTAAACGAATTGGATGGGGTTTTGTTTTATCGGTTCACTTGTCCACACAACAAATGGATAGCCACCTGATCAGAAACCGGTTGAATTGGACATTTACATTGGCTCACATTAGTATAATCCCTAGGGATGTAATTTGTGTTGAGAGTCAATTTGTGTACAGAATCTAGGGGTTTTTATTCCGTTGATGCCCAAGATATAGAGAAAGTATTGGCCGACTTGTATTCCGTACGTTCTGAATATCGAACTACTCCACATAGTCGGTATACTACTGTCAGATCTACGCAGAGGCCGATATATCGCCCTGCATATCATATGTCACGAGCTGTCATCAAAACATCCGTCACGTTTTGGAGCATTGCCAACTCCTTGTCTCCGTAGAGTTGTACCACATTCCCATAGCTTGGCGTCCCAATATCGGTTCTTTATCGGTTCTTTACGAAGGCTGTCATAAACGAACCAACAAGATCGTAGTTCATAGTTGAGCAGTATATTGGATGAGGATCAACAGCACTGTATGACGAAGCTGTAGGTGAAGTGAGGTACGAAGACCAAACTATGGTGTTGGAAGTCTCCTCACTATGGGATACATTCATTTCAACAACACATCGAAAAAGAAACAGTTTCGACAATCTCCAAATTTTCAAAGATGTGAATATCGCATTTTGTCCTTGCAAGGCAAGCCACAAAGAACATAATATATCTGGAGTTTATTTTCCTGAACTGTGAGTCCTCCCTGACAACATAATCCTTCATTGTTTGGTCAGGGATAACTTAACATTTACAGCATAATACTTAAACCGAGCCAAAACGGTCAGCGCATGCGCGGTCAGCAGGTGTGTGACCTTGACCTTATTCTAGTTGAGCTAACCGGACCGACCTCAACTCATCTGAAACAGGCTGACACAACAGGTGGTAGTTTATGGTTGGACGCTACTCCGGCTATGGTAGGCCGATGAGATTTCCATAAAACTGCAAAATAGTTAAGGTTGTGTGCCGCAACAAACAAGGGAAGAGCAATCGGAATATCGTGGATGTGTATGGTAGTTTGAACTAACGAGTTAATCAAGAACTAATGGTGTAAAGGCCTACGTTCTCAGGGGAAGACGTTGCAAGCAAGTAAAGGTCTCCTGTTGGATCTTGAGGGGAAATCAAAGAGTGGAGAACAACTTTCACAGTCTCACAATTCGCTGTTTTCCCCGTAACTTTAACAGTGAATTCGTCTGGTCTTGTCCACCCATTGAATTCACATATAAACTTAAGGTTTTTGCACCTCTGTTAAGTCCTGGTTTTGTTTTGAACTGAACCCCAACTTGTGCAAAATCTCGAAGCCATGAACTGCCCAGGTGATATCGAGTGATGCTTCCAATAAGTGTCATTGATTAAGCACCAACCTGGTCATTAAGTGGGTAGCGAACCCTCAGAATTTACATAGTTTTGACCGTCTTTTAGCTCCCTGGAGTGGAATATTGATGACACTGGCACCACTGTGTGACAACGATCCAAAGTAAGGGCAGTGATTGCAGTTATTCTAAGCCTAAGGCTAGATTTCCCACTTTTATCATTGGAGCAATATACAACAATTAAGCAGGCAACTCAAGCTATTTTATTTCAGTCGGACTGAAATAAGTCTGACTTGTCACATTTAGGACAGGTTGAGGCCAGTTTATGAAGCATGGTTTGGCCTCCTCATACTGAGCTTGTTTCACTGTATTTCTGCCTGTGCTACGCGGAAGGATCAGGGTACTCTATAGATGCAAAGTAGTTTGGTGTTGAGCCCAGGGAAGTTCGTAGAGTTTTCAGCAGCCTTCTGAGTAGCATATCACTTCTGCACAATATGCCTTGATATCCTGACTACTGAAACGCGAGGCAGCCACTATTTTAATACATTCATTTGGAGGATCCCATAAACAAATGATTCATTTGAGTCTTCTGTGAATACCAAGTTAGTTTTCAAACGAGTGCATTTCGTGTTCAAGTAGAATAAAGGGTTGATGGAACTCAGGGAATACGCCTAATTGATGGACCTCAAGAAAGGTGAAGCTAGTAGTAGGCTGTCCACGATGTTTCAGCAGCCTTAGGGGTAATGTCATTAAACCGCTGATGTTTACACTATGAATTTCTGATGAACGTCCACACGCGATCTGAAATGATTGGATTCCCTGTTTACTTCTTTCTGTAGGCAAGCGTGGTCGGATCTGGCTGATATGTCTGAGGACCAGGCCCGTCGAGAATACGTTTCAAAGCTGTTTGAGGTTGACCCGTCTTGGGATCCTAAGGTATGCTGTTGGATATGAACTGAATTAGTAGGTTGGTAGTAGCAACTTGTACGTTTGAAGCTTTTGGTTGCATTTGTGATTTTTTTCAACTGGTGAGGCTGTCATTCACATGTTTGTTTCAAGCAGGCACATGACAACTTGGTCGCTTGTGTTCTGTTCGAAATTTCGGACATTCACGTGTAAGCTTCGGTTACTGAGTGCTTTGTGTCCCTCGCCATACCCCCTCTTCCTTGTGGGGTCTTTTCCTCAATATAAGATTTATCTTGGCCTCAGTTGGCTGCCAGTTGATGATTCTTAGTTTGCCCGCATTTTTAAGACGTTAATCTCCTGTATGCAATTTGAGACTTGGTGTGTATTTTGACAGGCTCTTATCACTTTAAGCACGACATTAGCCGCAAGACTTGTTTTATGTTGTTAGGCCCTATTGACTAATACACACTTTTTCATGGTGCTCCACAGAATTTTCTTTCACACTGGGAAATTCGCATGTTTTTGAAAAAAAGCAAAAGGATGGGTGGTGAGTCAGTAGCAAGTATGGTGAGTTACTGACTCAAATAGAGTAAGCCACTGTTAGACTAAATCTGTTTCGCATTGAGGTTTGTTCCTATATATTGGTGAAAAGCTCATGGAAGTGTGCTCCTCTCTTTCCACCTGAGCTTGGGGTTTCGTCTGCCAGGTATTTAGACTACTTAATGATCAAAATTCTTTTTAATTCCGTTCACTAAGCTTATTGCGCGTTGCATTCGGGTTCCCTGAGTAACTAGTACATATAAAAAGGATGCAATTTTTAGTTATCTAGTCATTTCTACTTCCGTTGCGTTAGGACGATAAGCAGGCGGAACGATAAGAGATACCGATTGCACACAACCGCCCATCTACATTGTTTTGAAACAGCTGGATTTTGTACGCTCTCCAAGGAGTGGGTGCGGAATTCATTCTTGGACCAAATTCAAGTTCGCAACTATTTACAAACATGTATGAAACCTATAAGGTAAAGCAGGGTTGTGCTGAGTGGCACGAGGGAAGTTTATGCCTTCGTAAACCGATTTGTTCGCGTTCCGTTGCCAAATAATTTATGTTGAATACCGTCTCTCTTACACATGCCGTGTTAGGATGCATGTTTATGTGGTGAATCTCTTTCACACAGGATCAATCCAACAAATGTGCTATCTATGTTAGCCGAATGGTTTGTTTGGACCCAGAAAAGGTAGATGGGGACTGCCCGGATGAGAGGGACAAACCAGTTTTTCAAGCAGTCAAAGAAGGTAGAGTGGATCTGCTACAGACCATCCTACGAGACTCCCCAAATATCGTGAATGTAACAGATTCCGCAGTAAGTTATTCTAGTAAATAGTTTTTGCTTATGACGAGTCCAGGCCTTGCGCTGCTAGTTTCGCTTCGCAGGCCTTTGTATCTCACACTCGTAGCATGCGTATATTCTGCCATCCAAGTTCTCACAGCTTTTGCGACTTTCAACGATATCTTTCCTACGTTCGCTATCTTGGAGACCGGGTTTCTTCTGAACTTTTGAACTCCATGGCACCGTTTGTTGCTAATGTTTTTGCTCTGTCTTCTAGTTAACCCATACACTGCTCTACTGTCTGATCTTGATCACCCCGGCAGTACCTCAACCCTTCGATGTGCACGGCAAAGATGCACTGAAGGGATGTCGCAGCTGGAGTATTTCTCATTATAAGCAGTTTCATCCTAACCCCTAGACACGTTCCAAGAGTTTTTCCAGTTCTACAGACTCTTCATACATTGATTGCATCAGTTAGCAACCGTGGTTTTCCTCGGCAGCAGAAAGGTTCCAGTTTTCTCTGCCTTGGATCATAGGGTTTTGTTAGAAGTCGGAAATCTACTCTAGGATTGTTTGGAGGCAAGCTACATAAGCCGGATTGCCACTTCTGTTTGCTCCTTGTTCATGAGCGACTGTTTATTCCTTACCACTTTCCCACGAATCCATTCAAAGAATGCACAAGAAAGCCACGGGATGACCTCTATTTCCAGGGACCGAATAAGATGGAACAAATAACTAGGAGAAGCGTAACCTCATTCTTTGGATAGCCGACAGTATAAACTGTCGGCTATACTGTGTTTGAGATACAAGTCTTGTAAGTTGTGAGCTAATTGTCTGTGCAGTAGGTTACGTTTGGTTCGGGCGTCGGATCCAGTGTGAAAAAACATCGCCTTTCAACAGGTGAAAACAGATCGGTCCGTCGTGTTAACTGTGGCATGTCAGCAAAAGACCCAAGAACATGAGTTAGCATGAGGATGCTGTACCAACAAACTATCCAAATCGAAATGTGTGGACAGTTTTTATTCCAGTCATTGTCGATATCCACGGTAAACCAGGTCCAGCTCCATGAGGGAGAGAACTGTTGCATGCAACCGATTACTGGGTTTGGTGCCAGTTTAGCCAGTTTAGTCCAGTGTTTGTCGTTTTTATTTGTTCTGGTAGCGATTTCGCTCAAATCATATACCGGATGTGGTCTTCTCAATTCTAAGTTTTGAAGAGGTTTCAACTGCTCAATCACAAATGGTCTATTCTGCTTGCTGGCCCTTGATTGAGTAGATGTGAGGTGGGTGTTGTCGTCAATAAACATAGGTTCATGAAATAAAACCACATACGATGACCTTATTTCTGTGAGTATATTCAGTACATTCAGTATCGGTACATATGGTACCCGGGACGATGGTACGATGTATGCGCATCGCCTCATTGTATTCAAGACTTGTGCTGCTTCGTGTTTGTGTATGTGGTGTGACCAACTTGTCTAGTGTCACGTACATCATATGACCTTGATAATTCTCGCACGATCGAGGCTTGTTTACAAGTTCACAGCGAAGGTTAATCGGACTCTAGCGGTCAAGCTGAAACGGACTTTCGGTACGGTTTGTACGATTGTGAGCAATCCTTTGAATCTGTGTTAACTGGGTAGTCGGTTCTTCGAAACCCCGGTAATTCAGAGTGACTAGCACGCAAGCGATTGTTGCTTCGAGTGACACATTATCATGACAACTACGACTTCTTCGCTTAGCGATCTTTGAAAGTCCTGCAAATCCCCGCAGGGAGTCGTGGGTCAGCGAAATCGAGGGCAAGTAACACTTTCCGACTATACGTTGAGTCATGATATATTTCCATACTGGATGTATTGACGCAATACAACTCGGGAAAAAGTACATTTTTGATTTGCATTCGGTTGAAGACTTTTTCCACAGTTCATTCACCGAGTATTACCTGGAGGACAGTCCATACATACAAAAGTCTAGTTTGTTAATAACAGGAGACGTTACGCTTATGGTGGCGGTGCCCTTATCTAACTTGCTTAAGCGACCTGTTTGGAAGTTGGAAGTTGTGAGATTTGCGGAAAAACTTTTTTAAACGTCATTCTCTCTCCCCCCCTATCTCCATTGTTTGATTCACGTAAAGGTCAGCAGGTACCTTGTGGGCACAAAGTCAGATTTTTGCCTCCCCCAAATTGACCCAATCGTTCGTGAGCGGAGTTTGACCACTTGATATTCGTCAGTGGATTGGCAGGTTAAACTGAGAAAAATGACTGTAGCAACTTTTCAACGTGGGGCTTGCTTTTTTGACGAACAGCATACTTTAGTGCAAACACTCAGTTTGCGAATTGCCTCAAAGTATTTCAACTTTTCCACAGCAGATATGTAGCAGCATCACACGCTAGGTAGTTCATATCGAGCCAAGCGTGTGAATAGATTGTTACCTGTAGAGGCTCCCTATGTACCCTATTTGTGATATGCCGTTCAATGACCATTCCGAACTCAATGACTCGCAAACAGTTTATTTCGGCTTAGTATTCAAACCATCCACATACGAGACTCCACTTATATTCTTGTATTATATCCGTAATCTGTTGGCCTAAAAAGCACGGAACCACTACCGGTGTGTCATGCCAAAGCGCCCACGCATTGTTCCTAAGATGTCTGGCGAAGAATCAGAAGATGTGAAATTAAGGTCACCTGAAATGTGCAGAATGTCTATGCTTGAACACCTTTTTGGACATCACAACTTCCGAGTCGCAAAGTAGAACAACAAATTAGACTCAACTACGTGAGACTGCCAACCCGATAGCTGTTTTCTCAGCAAAACTGTACCATTCAGCAATTTTGGTATTAAGCAAAAGGAAATGCGCCCCTTTGGTTTAGCAGTTTAAGGGCGGTTAACGCATTTCACGACCTGAAGCAGTGTACGAACGATCATTTTTGTGCTCTAACAGTGCTCTGTTTTGGCCCAGCTTAAACGTGCCTTCTCGAGCTTTCAGCGCTTTGCAGCTGGTTCTAATAAAACTTAACTGGGTTACAGATACTCCGCTTTCAGAAAATGTCGGCGGATCACGCTGCAATGCAACTATGTGAATCTTCCAAAGTTAGAATTCGATTGAAGGTGGATTTTTTGAGTGGTGAATACGCTAATTTCAGGTAACGCGTTCCAAACTCCCGAGCGAGGCCATGAATCCTGATGCATATTGCACCGAGATCCATTTAAGGGGATTCGCGTCTCTGTTCATTCCTATCATAAAGAGACTGGACCTTACCGCGGTGTGATGGTTTGTGTACCTCCGCGACCCATTAAGCTATACTGGAGGGTTTCCGCGCGACACTCGCAAGGTCACGTACCAGTTTGGTCAATGGTTGGAGGTCTGACGAACCCATCTGACAAACCATCTATTCCACACACACACAAATAGACTCATGACACATCGGCCGTCGAGTGGTGCCATCAGCCGGGTCGCCCTATTCGCTGCATATAGCAGGACGAGTAGGCGAAAACAGGCTACTTCTGACGCCTTTCTTTTTTCTCTTTCACATCCTTTCTGTTGCTCTTCTCTCTCCCCAGCACTTAGGACGGATGACTCTGTTCGTCCTGCATCGGTTTTACAATCAACATCTGCGTGTCATCCGGCGCCGACATCCTCAGGCATCTCGAAATCAATCTTGAAGCTACAACGCCTAGTCTATCTGTCTGACTGCAATACCCTCAATCTGAAGCAAGCAGGACAACAAGCTGCTCTTGATGTCACACTGGACTCGCTTCACATTGATGTGTGCTGTGTATCAGGAATAAGAATTCAAGATGAAAGCAGAGTGGTTGAGCTAACCCCCCAAGCACTCTCTGCTAGCTTCCGGCTGCACAGTTCTGGCGTTCCAGAGACAGGATGTGCAGGGTTTGGTGTCATCCTGAGTCACCCTTTGATAGTCAGCTGTGCGCGATTCGTCTGGCAACGTGTGTGAAGGAGTCTCACAAGCGGGCAGTTGATCGCTGTCTTTTTGTCGTGTCTGCTAACGCCCCAACCGACTATAGCTTTGTCACTTGGAAGACAAGTTTTATGATATCCTGAATGTCCTGTTGCGGTTAGCTATGGGCTCAGATATCATTGTGTTTCCCGGAGATCTGAATGCACCAGTAGGCAGGTTTAATGCATCTGAGACTGGATTCGGTTTTCGATACGGATCGACTCAGTACGTACGTACAATTGTTTCAGCTGTGTGCTGACCGCAGACTGTTTCTATGCAGTAATAGCTTGCGGAATAGCCGACGTCATCCGGCCTCATGGTGTTCCCCAACGGCTTGCCGGCTACGAACTCCAATTAATCACATTGTCGTCAATTATTGATTTGCGGATCAGTAGCTGACTGCCGGCCGTTTTGGAGCACATTTTCGGATTCCAGTCAAGCGCTCCTTCGGAGTCTCTTCTCCCTTCGGTTTCCCGGGGTCGAGTAGGGTGCTGACAAATCACTTAGCCACTGATAGAGTGGAAGATCCGTATGTTGGATGAACTTACCAGAATAGTCTTCTAGGTTCTATTCCAAATGCTCTACTATCAGATATGAATTCATACTGGGGCGAGATCGCCACCTGTTTCCACAGTGCTGGGAGTTTTGCTTGTGGCACGGCGCTACCAGGCTCACTCAAGCGCTGGATGTCAAACCGAACAGTGGCACTGTTTAAATCCCGGAGAAATATCCCAACCGGTCCCGAACATAACTTGACGCGACGGAATATCAGACATCAAGTGAAAGTGAGGGTGCGGACCGACCGTGAAGTCTGGTGGACACTTAAAGCCAAGGAAATGGAAGAGGCTCGGGAAGCCGGTAATGCCCGAAGATTATTTCAATCGATCTGCACGACTGGCCCTCGGAAACCTTCTGTGAGCGAAGCCATCAAAGATCAGAAGGGGTTGACCATCTTGCATACAGAAAGGCGCCCCGACCGTTTGGCTGAATACATTGAACAACAGTCATCGTGGCCACCATGTTACAGTTATCTGGAGCCCACAGCTACGTCCCTGGCGCCGGTTTGACGCC